GGGGGGCCGGCCGGCCGGCCGCCTCACGCACACACCTCACCCTCCCCTCCGCATGTGTTGCAGCCTACGGGATCAACAGCATCCTCTACCAGCGGGGCATCTATCCCCCCGAGACCTTCACCCGCGTCCAGAAGTATGGGCTCACCCTCCTCGTCACCACCGACCCCGAGCTGAAGAACTACCTCAACAACGTGGTGGAGCAGATGAAAGGTGGCGGAGGGGGGCCGGGGGGATTAGGGGTCCCCGCAAACCGCTGGCAGGAGCCTACCGTGCCCTCCTTACTGAGTCTCTGCTGATGGTTCTGGTCTTTCTCGCTCTGCAACTAACTGCTGTGGCTTCTTTCAGAGTGGCTGTACAAGTGCATCGTGCAGCGCCTGGTGGTGGTCATCTCGAGTATCGAGAACAACGAGGTTCTGGAGCGGTGGCAGTTCGACATAGAGTGTGACAAAACTGCGAAGGATGAGAGGCGAGTTAGAGTGTTCCTCTGTGCCTGCTTTTCCCTATCCCTGGTTGTTGTGCAGGCACAAAGTAAAGGCCATATGTATCAGCACTGTTCTGGTTCCTCAGAGCAGGTGAGAGGGCCTTTTCTCAGTGTGAGCACCAAACCTACTACCACTCTTACTGTTGTTCCTTCTGTTTGTCTGTAAACCAGTCATTATATGCTTGAAGCATACATAATCCTTAGGTGTGGGGTTTGAGGGGTTTGCTTTGGTTTGTTTTTTAAAGCATCAGATCAAAACTTGATTTTTTTCATCTTCAACAAAGTGTATAAAAATCCTCTTATCAGGTACATGCCCTGAAGAACTACTGCTTTCCTTGTTATGCCCAAATGTTCTCATCCGTCCTGGACTGAGAATAAATTTAACTTTCTCACAGACATGGTGAAGCTTCACAAACATCAATAAAGGGAAAATGGCTATGACAACTTTTCTAAGCTTGTCCACCTAGGGCTTAAAAGATTGTCACTACTATAAAAAAATAATATAGCAAACAGACCAACAGAGCTTAATAGAGAGAACTGTATTCAAAGGAAACTGTCAGTATAGTAGAAGCTTTCTTTCTTAACGGAGTTTTCCTATTTTTGCAGTGCACCACGAGAAAAATCTCAGAAAGCTATTCAGGATGAAATTCGATCTGTTATCAGACAAATAACTGCCACAGTAACTTTCCTGCCACTGTTGGAAACTGCCTGTGAGTATTCCTAACTTCACTAAAGAAATCAAACTTTTCTTTTGGAAAACCTCAACGACTTCTACACTTTAGAAAACATTTTCTGTTAATTTGCTGGGACTTTTTAATTATTACATGTCATATACTATCACATTTTGGAGACAGCATTTTGTTAGACCGAGTTCATGTCTCTTGCAATTGCGTACAGCATGGAAACCAGTATGTTGGATCAAATACTTTTAAGAATTATCTTATAGTGTTCTCGCACAACAAACAGTAAAAATAGTTGCAAATGTAAATACTGTGTGCCATCTCATTAAACAACTTGGAGCAACTTCATTTAAAGGGACTATAGTATTTTCTCCCAAAAATACTTAAAGCTTTTTTTGTCAGGACAGAACTCAGGGTGGCTTCACTAACTTCATGACACTAGTACGGGTACTCTGAGGAACATCAGTTTTCATAAATAATAAACTATTTAGTGACTAGCTGTGGACAGGCTTGTATAAATAACCACTGAGTTCATATGAAGGGTTACATAGAGCTCAGCTCCACAGCATTTTAACGTTTAAAACTTGAGAAAACTAAAATGGCTACACGTTAATATAATCAGGACTTGTCTTCATGTTTTAACTACTATTTCTTTTCACATAACTAGTATCGGTGATTTCTGAGAACTTTGGTACCCATCTCAAGTTCTAGAAGATGGACTTTAATTTCAAACATGCCATTTTCTTATGCATGCATTACTGTTAATTTGTTCCTACTTGCTTACAGGTGCCTTTGACTTGCTGATATACACAGATAAAGATTTGGTAGTGCCAGAAAAGTGGGAAGAGTCAGGACCACAATTCATAGCCAATTCGGAAGAGGTTCGTCTTCGTTCCTTCACTACTACAATCCACAAAGTAAATAGTATGGTGGCTTACAAAAAGGATTCCTTCCCTTAAAACATGGTAGGGGCTGTATATAGTTTTTGTTCATAGTGCAGCTAAGTCATGAACACATCATTACTGTTGCTCTTCCTGAAGTATGATACAGAAAAATGGCAATGTGTTTGTCTATGATAATGTGGTGTAATATTAGACTAAGCTGGCATTGTTTTTAAAGAAGTCTAAATAAGGTATTCATAATGATAGTTCTATTCATACTTAACTGTATGAGCCAAACTGATGTGTTACACTACTGCATTCACTAGAAAAACTGCCTAAATCTAGGATTAAGTGCTAGAATTGTGTTCAGAGCCTGTAATTTAGTATTTCAAGATTATTATAAACTTCATTCTATTAGCAGGCTTAATTCTCTCTGGCACTAAAAAAAATTCTCACTCCTGCCATGTCAGTTCTTCGTGTTAAAAGCCTGGGCTGTTTTATTACTAGAAACAATCTTAAAATGAATCAACAGAACAATTCTGAGGTTACTTGCACCTATTTACAATGAAAGCAGCTGTTTATCAGGTAAATCTTAAATGTATGAAGCCTTGTATATTAGCAACTGCTGGACTCTAGTTCTGGGGATGGTGGTGTTCTAAGTTGGTGTATGTCTCTAGCGTCTGTCAAGCATTTTTTTATGTTTGTATTCTTGTTTTACAGAATAAAGCTTGAAATTGTATAGCGTTCTGTAATTCAGAGTCTGTAGTACTTAATACTTCAGATGTTTTTAGGGATGCTACATCTTACTTTGGTAATTGTCATAAAACCGAGGGCAGAACTGATACCCTAAAGGCATCCTACTTAATTCCCACAAATATTGTTACTGTCTCCTCCAAGCCTCAAAACAAGTGTTGTGGAGTCAATATGAAATCCATTCATGGATTAATAGTTTGCTCCCACTTGTGTCTTCAAATAACAGTAAAAATAGTCACCATGACCTAATGATTAAGCACACTGTTGCCTTCCATGTTTGGTAAATAGCACCAGACTCTTCCTGTAAGCTTCACCATTTTTGTACTGGAAGAAATTAGGGATTTAAAACTAAATGTTCACATAACTTTTGGGCTTTTTTATGTTTCTCCTTCACCAAATTCAATTCAGCCAGAATATTTAACTTCTCCCGCTCTTCTAGAGTGATATACAACTCTTCCTGTTATAACAGTATGATTTCAAAAGTTTATTTAAAAAAAACACTGATTACACGTACTCCACCACCGTATTATAAAGTTTATGGGCTTTCATAGCAGGAAATAGTTCTCTCCAGCAGTCCCAATCCAGCAGAGGTGAATCTTTGTACGTCAGTAGCACAAAATCACGGCTTTTCAAAATAAATACAATCTAGGTACTTAAAAAAATATTATTCACTACTGGGGCTTGCACTGCAGTAAGAGGAAGAGTTAGTATTTTCTTCTGTCTGTCAGCAATATTCTTAAACAGGTGACTGCACCACCCCTTTACACCTAGAAGGAGTTGCACTTCCCCTAGGGAGGACTGGATCAAAGCAGTGAGTGCAAGTCAACTGCAACAGAAATTTAAATTGGGAGCTGACAACTGCTGCTTTATACTAAAGATGAGATCAGGAGATGACTGATGACCAGCAGTAATGAGTATTAAAAAACTCCAACTTGTTTTACAGAGATGCAGAAGTCAGATCACTGTGGGAAGTTCAAGTTGCTTCTTTCTTGTCCCATATACAATTTATTTTCTTCAAGAAGGACCAGCCCAAAGTCCATCTCCATCATCATCTGGGTATTTTTTCTTTTTTTATAGAGGCACCAACAGTGAAGAGACATAGTGTATCACTGCATAGAGATAGCGTCCATGAAAACTGCATGTGAAAAGGAACAGGTTATAAAGCCTGAAGTTTTCACAATGACCCTGCAGAACAGGAAACAAGGGAAGAAAAAAAACCAAAGCAGTCACATTAGCGCAGTCTCCCATAAGTCAAGCCTTTATGCAGGTGTCCAACAGGATTTGCTTATACCTAGCAGGACCCACACTCTTCATTAGTTTCCCCTACCTTGAAGGGTCACTTCCGTAGCGTGAAGAATCAAAACCAAAAGAGCCCCCCTCATCTCCAATGGCAGTATATTCTTAGGAAACCGGATAAAGAATAAGATGTAGAAGTTACACAACAGGCATCCCTCACCTGACTAGTTCAGCTGACGTATAAGCTGGTTGATTGCATCGCCTCTGCAGCCAGGTTTACCCATTTCTTTGAGGAAACCCACTTTGTTACGTGAAGCATGGCGAGCCACTGACAGATGGAATGGCCATAGAAAGTTTGTGACTTTTTTAAAATATTTCCCAGCTGAGTAGATTTCATGAATAAGGTCTTCCAGACAAATAATACCACAGCTCCCTGCAGAAAAAAAAAAATAATTAAAAAAGCCCAATAAAACAACAAAAAGCCCCCCCCCAAACAACATATACATGAGATGCCCAACTGTACTATCTCTCACACTACTCCAGAATTGCCAGTCCTTCATATGAACTCTTGCAAGACTCTTAGGCCAGATTGCAAATTCTCAACATCCCCCTCTTTCCTTGATTCATCTTCTCCTCTTCCTCCTCACCTAAATGTTCCTCTATCAGCATATTGTCTGTCAGAGGTATCCTCTTTTTCTTAATCTTGGCTTGGCCCCGTTTCAGGATGAGCTCTCGTACAGATTTCAGGTTAGGGTGTCTGTACAGAAACAAAAATCAGATTCCGTTACAGAGAGACATGACAAAGTACAACGTCCCATCCTACTTCTTTGCACAGAGGAGGGAAAGTAACTAAGTTATGTTTACAACAACCAGAAAAGGGACAATAACAAGTTTTAGAAACAAAGTTGATGAAGTTTTGACCATTACTGGAAAACCCAGCTATGGATTTAAGATAATAGATGGAAAATAAAAAAGCTATGATATTTACATACAAACTACTATCAAGTCGTGACTGGTACTTACCCCCACGCCACGTAAGGTTCCACAATCCGCAGCATCTTCAGCGATAATGGAGTCAGTTTAACAAATGTTCCAGTGAAATTTCTTCTCAGCCGCAGCAACTCAATCACTCTTTTTACCCTCCTACTCACTCCCTTAATGCTGAGTCAGAAAAAAAATACTATTAGTAACCACATTTTTAGAATAGAGCAACAGAAGGCCTCAGATTACCTGCAAGGGGACACATGAGGGTTGATCACCCTTCCTTTGCTTAGAAATGATATGACAGCTACAAATGGTAGCAATAATAAAGGTAAGGAGTAACAAAATTTTCTTACTCTGCAATCCGTACAACAAAGGCTAGTTTGTGCTCCTGAGGTGCAGCTGTCTGCCCAGGTCTCTGCTCCATGCGCCTCAGCCGGACATCGTCTCGGTGTTTGCGCCATGAATCTCGAACAAAAGCCTCAAGACGTTTAAACTGGATTTGTTTCCCCTTCTGGAGCTAAAGACAAAGGATAAGAAAGTCTGCATCTCAAAGGCCAAGTGAACTTCAGAACTTGATGAACTATGCTCTTTCAGTTTGGGAGGCAGTAAGAAGAAAATAAATTTGATAATCTAAGCCCAAGGAAGACAGAACCAAGGGGCAACATATGAATTTACAAGCAGCTAGCTATAATTTATGAGCAGCAAATAAAGTTCTTCCCTAGAAAACAAAAAAACAGGAAAAATGGAGCAAGACCTAAGATACTTCTAGGCATAAGAGAAATCAAATGGAAGCAGACAGATGTTCAAACTACATACACAGCTCAGTCAATCACTGGAAGAGCCAGAAACAACATATGTATGTGGGTAAAACAGCTGCTACAGCAATATCCTAGTGACTCAAAATTACCATCTGACAGAAAATAACTGGGTTTAAAGTCCTTTTCTATAAAGCCACACGTGCAAAAAATCGAAGTATTCAAATAACTATTAAATATTACTAGTTTAAACACAGAACATTCATCTCACTTGAAAAAAAAATATTCAGAATTATGGGAAAATTTAAAGCTTTTTTAAAATTAAAAAGATGTTCTAGTGCCTATCCTTAACTCAGGAACAAATACGTGTACCTAAATCATAGTGCTTTCTCATATCAATAGGAGCTGAATGTGCACGGTAGTTACCCAATAATGTTTTAGATACGCTACTGGCCAAATCAGGCCGTTTTAAAATTAAGGTATCTAACATTATGTGTCTTTTGTCGTATTTTGCTTTATACATCACCCAGAAATGGGTTTGAATTTTCAAAGCAGGCATGCCTGATGAAAATCTCATCACTAGGGTGATTTTTTCATTAAGAATCTCAAAAGGTGGCTATTTAACATTAATGCCTATGCATCCACTTCCACCTTGGGAATACAGCAAGCCACTCGTGTATTTAAAAACATGAACACAGTATTTAAAAACCCGGCAGGAGTTTTGCACATAATCCCACCAATTCCACAGATTCACTGGCAAAGCTTTAAGCCGCTTCGAAGGCAGAAGCCTGCCGCACTGGCTGAAATGCAGCACAACAGATCTCAAATTCTGAGGCAAAAGGTTTGCTGTGCTCTGCCAGTCTGGAAACCGCACACCGCGCGTAGGGAGTCACCACTGCAGACCCACCCCGGCCTTCGCCCCCGTGACAGCCCGGCTCACGACCCGCCG